ACTTCATACATTCCCTTCTTTGCCTCCATAGATAACGTTTTTTGACTCCACATATACCTCAACGCACCACTCACCTTTTTTCCCTCATCAATTCTATGATTAACCTCATCCTTCATAAATCCATCCGCCGACACGTCAACTCCCAAGTATCTGAAAACATTCACTTCTTCCATACTCCTCCCCAATTTGATATCCAATTTTTCTTGATCTAAATCATTTGATACCCTCATCACCTTACTCTTTTCTATGTTCACTTTCAACTTTCTACCTTTACACACATTCTCAAACTCATCCACTAACCTTTGTAATTTTTCTTTAGAATCTCCCATAAGCACAGTATCATCAGCAAAAAGTAACTGTGTCAATTCCCATTTTGAATTTGATTCCCCATAATTTAATCCCACCCCTCTCCCGAACACCCTAGCATTTACTTCTTTTACAACCCCATCTATAAATATATTAAACAACCATGGTGACATTACACATCCCTGTCTAAGACTTACTTTTACCGGGAAGTATTCTCCCTCTCTTCTACACACCCTAACCTGAGCCTCACTATCCTCATAAAAGCTCTTTACAGCATTTAGTAACTTACCACCTATTCCATATACTTGCAACATCTGCCACATTGCTCCTCTATCCACTCTATCATATGCCTTTTCTAAATCCATAAATGCAATAAAAACTTCCCTACCTTTATCTAAATACTGTTCACATATATGCTTCAATGTAAACACTTGATCTACACATCCCCTACCCACTCTGAAGCCTCCTTGCTCGTCCGCAATTCTACATTCTGTCTTACCTCTAATTCTTTCAATTATAACCCTACCGTATACTTTTCCTGGTATACTCAGTAAACTTATTCCTCTATAATTTTTACAGTCTCTTTTGTCCCCTTTCCCTTTATATAAAGGGACTATACATGCTCTCCGCCAATCCCTAGGTACCTTCCCCTCTTTCATACATTTATTAAACAAAAGTACCAACCACTCCAACACTATATCCCCCCCTGCTTTTAACATTTCTGTCATGATCCCATCAGTTCCAGCTGCTTTACCCCCTTTCATTCTACGTAATGCCTCACGTACCTCCACCACAGTTACATTCTGCTCTTCTTCACTCCTAAAAGATGGTATACCTCCCTGGCCAGTGCATGAAATTACCGCCTCCCTTTCTTCCTTAACATTTAAAAGTTCCTTAAAATATTCTCTCCATCTACCTAATACCTCCCTCTCCCCATCTACTAACTCCCCTACTCTGTTTTTAACTGACAAATCCATACTTTCCCTAGGCTTTCTTAACTTGTTTAACTCACTCCAAAATTTTTTCTTATTTTCATTAAAATTTCTTGACAGTGCCTCTCCCATATATATCTATCTATATATATATATATATATATATATATATATATATATATATATATATATATATATGTATATATATATAATATATTATTAATATATATATATATATATATATAAATATATATATATATATATATATATATATAATATATATATATATATATATATATATATATATATATATATATATATATATATATATATATATATATATATATATATATAATAATATATATATAATATATATATATAGGTAGTATGTTGGTAGACAGCAACCGCCCAGGGAGGTACTACCGTCCTGCCAAGTGAGTGTAAAACGGAAGCCTGTAATAGTTTTACATGATTGTAGGATTGCTGGTGTCCATTATTCTGTCTCATAAGCATGCAAGATTTCAGGTATGTCTTGCTACTTCTACTTACACTTACGTCACACTACACATACATGTACAAGCATATATATAACACACCCCTCTGGTTTTCTAATATTTTCTTACTAGTTCTTGTTCTTGTTGTTTATTTTCTCTTACCTCCATGGGGAAATGGAACAGAATTCTTCCTCCATAAGCCATGCGTGTTGTAAGAGGCAACTAAAATGCCAGGAGCAAGGGGCTAGTAACCTCTTCTCCTGTATATATTACTAAATGTAAAAGGAGAAACTTTCATTTTTCCTTTTGGGCCACCCCATCTCGGTGGGATATATATACATAATATATATATATATATATATATATATATATATATATAATATATATAATATTATATATATATATATATATAATATATATAATATATATATATATATATAATAATTAGGATCAATAATGATGTATGGTTATATCCTTTGGCAGGAAGATACATGTTCTGCAGGTCTGTGTTGCTTGGCGCTGGTTTCGACCATGGTTACGACGGATGAAGAACGTTGTTGTAGACTTCAGCGTTGAGACGGGCGACGCCATGTCGGTATACTACCAGCAGATGCGAACTCCCTACAATATTTCTCAGGGACCACTGTGGAGGGCGAGCTTGGTTTCCCAGCCACAGGCAGCTGGTGACCGTCACCAGGCCGTCCTGGTGCTCACCTTACATCACATCATCATTGACGGCCTTACCAATATGATCATCTCCCGTGACTTTATGGAGGTGCTGAACGCCATCATGACTGGACGGAGCCACAACACGCCCACACGACATAACATTCCAGCCATTGCTGACGAACTTTTCAGCATGAGGGACTATATTTGGTGCCTTAAGTTTCTCTCGTCTGTAGCGTACAAAACAATCAAGAGTATGCTCAGTGATAGATGCTACAGTATTAGTTTTCCTCGGCCAAACACAAAGGTAGCACATACAAATGTGTTGCGTAAAGACTTCTCAGCAGAGACGACTCAAGAGCTTTTGCGTCACTGCAAGGAAGCAAAAGTTAGCGTTCACTCTAGTATAGTGGCTGCAGCTTACCTAGCGCTTCTACGCACCGCTCAGAAATATTCAAAAGAATCTTTAGACTCATTGAGGATCACTTATGATAACGCTGTAAACATGCGTCGCTACTACCCAAGTGTTTACAGTGAGTCTGTTGGTTTTCACTCATGCTTGACCAAACATGAATACGTTGTCTGCAGCAGTGATGCAGAAAACAAAGATAGTTTCTGGAGTCTAGCAAGACGCATGCATGACGACCTCCAACACAATCTTTGTGTCAGTAAAACACCTATTCGTATTTCTCCACTCTCTTTGGTAATCTCTGCTACTAACCCAGTAAATTACTTGCTAACTCGTCTAGGATGCAGAAACTTTGTTAATACAAACATGTCTTGCACTAACATGGGCAATCTGAAGCAAATATTGCCTGGTAAATACGGGGATGGGCCTGTGGAGATCACCAGTTTTCTTCGATCCACGGCATCAGAGTTATGTGGAAGTCCTTTCTTGGTCGTCTTCCAGACCTTTGAAGGACGGTTGTTGTTGTCTCTGGACCATTACGTAAATAACATTACTGAGGAGGTCGTTAATATGTTCTTTTCATACTTAACCCATTTTATTGATGACATAGCTCACAATGGCACCATCAAGAATTACTGAGTTGTAAATATTTTGGGAAAAAATAAAAATTATGTTTAAACATATTTTGGTTTCCATGTGATCGAGCAAATTATCCCTTGTATCGATAACCATTGCCAATAAACTTCTAGACATTAGATGGAATTACATTTGTATAGGGTGGTCTTCCTATTCTCTCTCTTCCGGTCATCACATACGCACCTATGGCTCCAAATCTCCAGACTGAGACACCTGTTTTTCCCGAGTGACAGCCACGAACGCTTGCTAGAGACAGCCAGTGTTTCCAAAATCAATTACATTAGCTTCTTACCGCCATCATACTCAAAGCTACCATGCCCACCTGCCAGTTTACTGTGGTTTCAGGTTCCTAACGTTTGATATGTGTGCGTGAATGAAGAAGTTAATTTCTGTAATTTAAGAATGAGTCGTAAGATATAAGAGTGAGTTGCAGGGATGTAGGAGTAAGGAGTTGTAAGATATGGGATATAGGAACGAGTTGTAGGGATATGAGAGTGATTTGCAGGACCGTGGGAGTGTGTTGTAGAGTTAGCTGAAGACCGTGGAATCGAGTTTTAAATGTGAGTGAATTTCCAGAGGTATGAGAGTGAACTGTCGAGATGTGTTGTGGAAGTGTGGTAGAACGTTGTTGGGGTGGCGATGTGTATGAATGAATTTCAGATATATAATAATATTATTTGAATGATGAAAGAACAAGTTTAAGAGCTTGAAGAACGAGAGAGAGAGAGAGAACGAGAGAGAGAGAGAGAGAGAGAGAGAGAGAAGAGAGAGAGAGAGAGAGAGAGAGAGAGAGAGAGACAGACAGACAGACAGACAGACAGAGAGAGAGAGAGAGAGAGAGAGAGAGAGAGAGAGAGAGAGGAGAGGAGAGATTGAGCGAATGAGCCAGAGTATGAATGTGCACTCAACAAGCTGGATTTTGTAGTGGTCGAGACAGCTTCTGGCTCTTGCCCGAGCTCCTGAGTGAGTATGCATATTCATCTAATTGTACTCACCTAATTGTGGTTGCAGGGGTCGTGACTCAGCTCCTGGCCTCGCCTCTTCACTGAGTGATACTAGGTCCTCTCTCTCCCTGCTCCATGAGCTTTATCATACCTCGTCTTAAAGCTATGTATGGTTCCTGCCTCCACTATATCACTCGCCAGATTGTTCCACTTCCTGACAACTCTATGACTGAAGAAATACTTCCTAACATCCCTTTGACTCATCTGAGTCTTCAACTTCCAATTGCGACCCCTTGTTTCTGTGTCCTCTCCCTGGAACATCCTGTCTCTGTCCACCTTGTCTATTCCACGCAGTATTTTATATGTTGTTATCATGTCTCCCCTAACCCTCCTGTCCTCCAGTGTCGTCAGGCCGATTTTCTTTAACCTTTCTTCGTAGAACTTTCTCATTAGAGAAAGTGCAAACCTTTGTACTTTCTCCAATTCTTAACGTGCTTGACCCGGTGCGGGTTCCAAACAGGTGCTGTATACTCCAGTATGGGCCTGACGTACACGGTGTACAGTGTCTTGAAAGATTCCTTACTAAGATATCGGAACGCTATTCTTAGGTTTACCAGGCGCCCATATGCTGCAGCAGTTATCTGGTTGATGTGCGCCTCAGGAGACGTGCTCGGTGTTATACTCACTCCTTGAGTGAGGTTTGTAGTCTTTGGCAATGTAGCCTATACTCTGTCTACGGTCTTCTTTGCCTTTCTCCGATAATCATGACTTTGCATTTGGCGGGGCTGAATTCGAGAAGCCAGTTGTTGGACCAGGTGTGTGTGTGTGTGTACTCACCTATTTGTACTTCCCTATTTGTGATTGCAGGGGTCGAGTCATAGCTCCTGGCCCCGCCTCTTCACTGATTGCTACTGGGTCCTCTCTCTCTCCCTGCTCCATGAGCTTTATCAAACCTCGCCTTAAAACTATGTATGGTTCCCTCCTCCACTACGTCACTTTCTAGGCTATTCCACGGCCTAACAACTCTATGACTGAAGAAATACTTTCTAACATCCCTTTGACTCATCTGAGTCCTCAACTTCCAATTGTGACCTCTTGTTTCTGTGCCCCATCTCTGGAACATCCCGTCTTTGACCACCTTGTCTATTCTGCGGAGTATTTTATATGTCGCTGTCATGTCTCCCCTGACCCTCCTGTCCTCCGCTGCCGTCAGGCCAATTTCCCATAACCTTTCTTCGTATGACAATCCTCTTAACTCTGGAACTAGTCGTGTTGCAAACCTTTGCACTTTCTCTAATTTCTTGACGTGCTTGACCAGGTGTGGATTCCAAACTGGTGCTGCATACTCCAGTATGGGCCTGACGTAAATGGTATACAGAATCTTGAACGAGTCCTTACTGAGGTATCGGAACGCTATCCGTAGGTTTGCCAGACGTTTGTACGCTGCAGCAGTTATCTGATTGATGTGCGCCTCAGGAGATGTGCTCGGTGTTATACTCACCCCAAAATATTTTTCCTTGAGTGAGGTTTGCAGTCTTTGGCCACCTGGACTGTACTGTGTCTGCGGTCTTCGTTGCCATTCCCCGATCTTCATGACTTTGCATTTGGCAGGGTTAAATTCAAGGAGCCAGTTGCTGGACCAGGCTTGTAGCCTGTCTAGGTCTCTTTGTAGTTCCGTGTGATCCTCAACCGATTTGATTCTCCTCATAATCTTCACATCATCTGCAAACAAGGACACTTCTGAGTCTATCCCTTCCGTTATGTCATTCACATATACCAAAAACAGCACAGGTCCCAGGACTGACCCCTGTGGAACCCCACTTGTCACAGGCGCCCACTGTGACACCTCGTCATGTACCATGACTCGTTGTTGCCTCCCTGTCAGGTATTCTCTGATCCATTGCAGTGCCTTTCCTGTTAATATGCCTGCTCCTCTAGGTTTTGCAGTAACCACTTGTGAGGAATTGTGTCGAAGGCCTTCTTGCAGTCCAAGAAAATGCAGTCTATCCACCCCTCTCTCTCTTGCCTTACTTCTGTCACCTTGTCATAAAACTCCAATAGGTTTATGACACATGATTTTTCTTCCCTGAAACAGTGGTGGTTGTCGATTATACACTTGTTTCTTTCCAGGTGCTCCACCACTCTCCTCCTGATGATCTTCTCCATGACTTTGCATACTATACACGTTAGTGACACATGTCTGTACTTTAATGCCTCGTGTCTGTCTCCTTTTTTAAAAATTGGGCCTACATTTGCCATCTTACATACCTCAGGGAGCTGCCCAGTTTCAATGGATGTGTTGAAGATCTTTGTTAGTGGCCCACAGCATCTCTGCTCCCTCTCTAAGGACCCACAGAGAGATGTTGTCTGGTCCCACTGCCTTTGAGATATCAAGTTTACATAGCAGCTTCTTCACCTCCTGTTCGGTTATGTGTACCTCATCCAGCACTTGTTGGTGTTCCCCCCTGCTCTGATTTCCTGGAGTCCTACCGGTTTCCACCGTAAATACTTCTTTAAATCTCGTGTTGAGCTCCTCACATACCTCTTGGTCATTTCTTGTGAACTCCCCACCATCCTTCCTCAGTCTGACTGCCTGGTCCTTGACTGTTGTTTTCCTCCTGATGTAGCTTTACAACAGCTTCGGGTCAGAGTTGACTTTCGATGCTATATCATTTTTGTATTGTCGCTGAGCCTCCCTTCTTATCTGTGCATATTCGTTTCTGGCTCTTCGGCTGATCTTTTTATTTTCCTGTGTCCTTTGTCTTCCTTTTTCATTCTCTAGTACACCTAGTTTTTGCCTCCCTACACCATTGGGTGAACTAAGGACTCGTTCTGGTCTTCCCATTATTTCTGTTTCCCTTGGGAACAAATCTCTCCTCTGCCTCCTAGCATTTTGTTGTCACATAGTCCATCATTTCTTTTACTGGTTTTCCTGCCACTTCTCTCTCCCACTGAACGTCTTGCAGGAAGTTCCTCATGCCCATGTAGCCCCCCTTTTTGTAGTTTGGTTTTTCCCATCCTATTCCTGCTACTCTCTCCACTTGAAGCTCAACTATGTAGTCAAAGCACAGAACCACATGATCACTAGCTCCTAGGGGCCTTTCATACATGATATCCTTGATGTTCGAACTACTCAAGGGGAATACAAGGTCCAGTCTTGCTGGGTCATCCTCACCTCTCTCTCTGGTAATGTCTCTAACATGTTGTTGCATGAGATTTTCCAGTAGCACATCCATCATCTTGGCTCTCCATGTTTCGGGACTCCCATGGGCTCGAGGTATTCCCAGTCAATCTCCTTGTGATTGAAATCACCCATGTGAGCTCTTCTGTCCACCTCGGCTAGTGTGTTGACCATTGCTCTCTTGCTCTCGTCGTATTCTTCTCTTGGCCTCCTGCAGGTCTGTGGGAGGTTGTACATTACTGCAATCCCACCTTAACGGCCCTCAGACTTTTCCTTGCAACCAGACTTTTCGATTCTCTTCTCACTGAAGAGATTTTCGATGTTAGGAGTGGTACTTGATATTGCACAACGAATATTGCTTTCAACCGCAAGCCGATTCCTCTGTTTGAACTTTGCAACAAACATGAAAATCCACTCTCACACATGTAAGTGATGTAAATGGCAAAAGAAATCTGACTGC